CACCCCGTAGCCCCATTCACACACACACACACATACACACACACACACACACACACACACACACACGCCCACTGAAGTATATAAATAAAGACCAGGGCAGTCCTCAGTGCAAATCTTGGAGCCTCACTCTTGTGTGTGAGCTCTGGAGGCTGCCTTTGCTAACAAGAAAATCTGTGTGTTTCTCCTCTCTGATTCTCAGAATTCTGCGATTAAAGTCAGAATTCTGAGAAAAAGTAAGATTTCTGAGAAAAAAGTCTGACTTTAATCTCAGAATTCTGACTTTAATCTCAGAATTCTGGAAAAGAAGAAAAAAAAGATGTGCCCACTTTTTTCCCCCAGAGCCCCTAATCCTCTTCCATATCTTTCTGCAAATCACTAAAATAACCAATCAAATATGAGTGTGCTTACTTTTGTAGTTAATTATTATGTTTAACAAAGGACTATTGTGATAAAGACTGAAGTCAGTGTCATTGTGAGAAATGTCTAAAAATTTTAAACCGTTTCTTTAGTACAACATTAGCCACTTCTGAAAGAATATTTACATTTTATGTTAACAGATGACTGTTTCCAGTCTTCATGTCCTCATGGAGGAACTAGGTGTTTGGTGTGTGCCTTTTTTCTTTCTCTCTTTTTTGTTCTTGTTCAAAATCCTTTGTGCACTATATCCAATGTTTCTCCTCTGCACACGTCCAAACCAATGACTGTAGAAGTCATTGGTCCAAACCAGCTCAACCATGTTTTGAACTTTGTCTCCAGCATGTTCAACCTGAGCTGCCTCTCTAAAGGTCTCATTTCCTATCCTGTCTATTCTGGTCACTTGCAGTTAAAGTCTTAGCATCTTCAACTCTGACACCTTCAGCTCAGCCTCCTCCTCCTGTTAGGAGGAAAAGATGATACCTGCTACATGACATTCATTTTTATCCACACCACCCTGTCTGCATCCTCTTCTTCACCTCTCATGTGCATTGTCCACCTTCACTACCACTGCTTCTTGCACTTAACACTATTACACCTGTCTCCCTGTAATTCACCTACGTGTATTCTTTCTTACTTCTACTGACTTTCATTCCTCTTTTCTCCAGAGTATACCTCCACCTCTTCAGGCTCGCTTCCAGCTGCTCCCTACTTTCAATACATCATCTGCAAACCTCATGGTTCACAGAGGTTTATCTGTCAGCATCACCATAACAAACAAGAAAGGACTCAGAGAAGATCCTTAAGATAATCCTACCCTCACTTTGAACCTATCTGTCACTACACCACACCTCACCACTGTGTCGCTGTCCTTGTACATGTCCTGTATCACCTTCAAATACTTCTCTGTCTTTCCTGACTTCCTCATGCAGTTCCCCTCTTGGCACCCTATCATCTGAGTTCTCCAAATCCTCAAAAGACACAGTGCAACCCCATCAGACCTTCTCTATGTCTTTCACAAGCATGAAGTCGTATGGCTTCATCACCTCACTACTTAACCAAGCTTCAACAGTTCTTTCTCATAGCTTTAAGTTATGAGTAATCAAATCTATCCCTCTTTAGTTACTACAGCTCTGAACATCACCCATGTTCTTCATAATCAGTACCAGTACACCTTTTTCCCCATTCCTCAGACATCCTGTCAGTCTCTAGTATTGTGCTAAAGAATATGTTTAGCTAATATGTTTAGATATGACAGCTCTATAACTGCACAGGTATGTCATCTGCACCAGCCAAGATTTTCCACTCTTCATCCTCATAGCTGCCCTCACTTTCTCCTTACTATTACGCTACACTTCATGATTCAATAACAGTCCTTCATCTGTCCTCTTTCATTTTCTTTGTCCGCTCCTCAAAGTACTTCTTCCCACCCAACACACTTTCTTCACTGATCATTTGACAATGGGACTTGACTGACCAGCGGGCCACAGTGGCTATCTTTGTTTCTGAGAATCTGTTTCAGACTGATACCAACATTCATTACAAATAAAATCCAACATAAAGGAATGCTCTCCAGGCTGCAGTGAGATAACAAAGTTTAGTGTTGAAAATAAAAGTTTTGCACATTCATTAACACCGTGTGCTCTTCTGCTTATGAATAGAAACCTGTGAACAGTGCATTAATTATGCCTCAGTTAATTTGATGAACTTAAATTTAGTAAACACATCTTTCCCATCACCTCTCATATGTCTGGATTAATAATTATAAAAGCTCCCCTCTCTCCTGCTTTTACTTTGCTCTCAGAAGAAAAATTATTCTTGCAATACAATTAGTAAACACTTTCCTTCAGCTTAATGAGATGGGGTTGTTTGATTACAGTGAAAAAATCATTCTGACAGGAAGAAAATTGGGTAAATTTGGTCAGTTTGTCTGTTTTTTGGTAAGTGATTTGTCAAAACGGGTCTTAGGATGCTGGGATCTCCCTTCAAGTAGAACAGGGGGCAGAGACACTGCCTCAGTTGAACGGAAGAGTTGCTTGCAGTTGGAAAATAAAGTTTTCTTGTTTGGTATTTGGTTGCCATCAACACAAACAGGAGCTGAAGCAATACTGCCCAGAGACAACTTTAAAGTGCCTGATTACTGGCACTTAAATTTACATAATTTACAAAAATTTGGCACTTGGCAGAGATAGACCTCATCCATTTGAATGCAAAGACATGATACACATACTTGAACTTTTAGATGATATCTCATGCATAAAAAAATCTCTAGCCCAGATTCTGTGATGTGTGAAGTCTTCTCAGAATTAGCAACATCCTATCTCTTAGTGATGCTGATGAGCTCATCCATGAGCAAACAACAAAACATTAAAAGTCCTTAATTTAGTGTTAAATGCAGAACTTAAAGTCCTCCTAACATACAAAGCACTCAGTGATCAAACCCTATGATACTTTAACGACCTTATAGTATCACATTAGCATTTTGCACTCAGATTGCATGCTGACTCGAGGTTTTTAAAGTTTCCAGAAACAGAAATGGAAGCAGTGCTTTGAGATATCAGCTTTACTTGCATACATACTTGATGGTCTTGAGTGTTGCTCAGTTTATCTTTACAAAGTGTATTTCAAAGCAGCAACCTCCCACATTTTAACATAAAGCCAACAAAGAATGCAAAAAATAGCAGTTCCACTAGTGACCACTTGGCGCTGACTCTAAAAGTAAGTCAGTCCACAAAGACTCCCATGTTAAAATGTACATCAAGAGAAATCAACATGCTTACAGCAGCTCTTTGAACTCTACAAAAATCTTACTCCTTCATAACAACTGCAAGTGATTTTTGTCCACTGAAGTGATTTTTCAGTTCACTGAACTGGACTTTCTCAGCCATGTTTGTGCTGTTTGTGCCCTTTTGGAGCCTCTTTAGTGGAATCATTTGACAAATAATAAGGGTTGCTCTGCAGTTTATTACATTAACAGACTGTCCAAGAAATCTGTACTTTAGTTTTGGTGAGTACATTAATATAATTTTATTGGCCTGTTCCTCATTAACTCTTATATTTCTTTTTGTGTGCCTTGTACCAGTACAGTTTATGAATACTACGCTTGTTTGCATTATTAACAGTCTACTATGTTGTTCAAATATCTATAGTCTATAACTGCATACTTTTTCAGTTGGGGCGTCCGTTTTTTGGACTTCCCTCCCTGAGCAGCTCAGATTGGCTCCTTCTCGTCTTTTGAATCCATCTTACAGACAGATTTCTATAAGCTGACCTTTTCAGTGCCTCCACTTTGACTTTCGTTCTGTTCTTTATCATTGTCTTTTCCAAGTAATCATTTTTATTATTTCATATTTAGTTTTAATTTACCTGTTTTCCATTTTTAATTATCTTCATTCCTCACTTTTAATCTCTTAGTGCTGCTATTACCTCCCTGCCTAACGTTGTTTCACCTTCATATTTTAAAATGTATTATCATTGGGTTTTTTTGTCTTGTCTTCGAAGCACCTTATTACTTTATTTTAAAAGGTGTTATGTAAATAAGTTTATTATTTATTATTCTTTGCTAGTTTCACTGTATAAATACATGCTCACGCTGAGACAAAAAGCCAGGAAAATGTTAACATTGATACTTAAAAGTACAAAGGGTGGAAACCAGTGAGTGATATCACAATGGCTACATGTATGTACAGTCTGAGCATCATCCTGAAAAGCTTATGAAGTCTCTGTCAGTGTAGAGTTTGTGTGTTCAGCTCTATATCTTTGAAGTCTGTGAATCGGGTTTTCAGTTCAACTGAATGTCATGCCACAATTTCAGGAGTATGTAACATTTTACAACTTGTTGCAAAGGCAGACAAATAAAACTTAAATAAACTTGTGAGAGATGAAGATTAATCGTAATCAAAACATGATCTGAAGATCAAATAACACGAGTATAATTTTCAGATTGAACTCAAAATAAAAAATAACTGCTCAGATGAAAGTTAAAATGTTTACTGGAGATTGAGGATGATTCAGACCTTCAGACATGATTTGCCTTGAAGTCAGACAGTCTGATGAGAAACAACTTTGAAGATGAAAAAAGCCTACCCTGATCGTTGGCCATCTTGTCTGGATGCTCCACTGAAAAAGCAACAGAGAGTGTGAGTAAAATTATAAAATATGAAACAAAGGAATACATTTACAGGTAAAGCAGGAACGGATGTTCAGTCACACACACTCGGACGCACCTTTGGCTGTCCTGAAGTGGATGGCCTCGGATAGAGGGCCAACTCCTTTGGCATTTTTGGCTTGAATCCTGAAGTAGTAAACAGTGTCGAGGTTCAGATCCACAACCTGGTGGGTTAGTCGGTCGCCACTAATTGCCTCCATCACCCAGTCGTCTATCGGCATGTTCTTATCCAGAGTGTAATACAGAATGTAACCTGTCAAACGAGTTGTAATTATATGAGTAATAATACGTATTTTTTTTAAAATAGTCATCTTTTTAACCTATTAACATCTACTGGTGAACCACTTGGGTAGTTAGAGTTAGGTTACATTTTAGTTAAATGCTAAAAAAAACATAGTTTGAGAAGATAGAAAGGTGTTATATAAAATCAAGCCTTTTGCATACAAAACAGTTCTTCTGTTATAATAGGCGGACGTGATCTGAACTGTAACTGCACCCAGGTCAACGGGACTAGAGGAATTTTTTTTTACAAGTGCGTCACTGAAAGGTGATGCAAAATATGAATAATTATAGTGAAAAACCTGAGAACTACGATTTGATACCCAGAATGTTTGGGTACATGCCATTTAGAAGCAAATGTTAAAAACATTTAGGAAAAAACAAAACATTTAGGATGAAAAACAGAAACAAGTAGAGGGTTTAAAAATATGCAATCTGTGTGTCTGAGAGTAAGTCTGTGTTGTGCTGTTATGCCCGCAGGGAGCGTTTGATTCGTCCTCGGGGACGCTGCAGGAACAGCGGAGCTCGTTAAAACAGACGGGCTTACAGCCGAGCTGATCGCCCAGAGGAAGAGAGATGGAACAATGTGTGCGTTTGGATACACAAAGCAGCTGGGTTCATGTAGTCCTGAGGAGTGTGTTGATGTTTTTGATCTACTTTCAGACTAAATGATAAACCTTAAGCTGAAAAAAATCATCAGAAAATTAACCCTCTCTTCAACTCTAATCAACAGTATGTGTTATTACAGCAAACTACAGCGGTATACCTGTGTGTTTATGTGCAAAGACTCACCTGTGATTCGCCCGTTGGCCTCCATAGGTGGTTGCCAGCTGATCAAAATGGCACGGGGTCGTCCTTCACGGCTTATAACTGTTAAATCTTTGGGGGCGGAGCTAGGAGCTGTCAACAAAATAGAAGCAGTTTGAGAGGTTACAGTGTCTGGAAGTGCTACAACACAAATGAAACTGGGCATAGACAATCTGGGAGGCAGTTTTAAATGGAACAGATATCACTTCATGATTTCTTTGTTACACACTCCACATTTCTTACTTACATGTAACAACCAAACCCTGCTCGCAGACACGAGCAGGCACGCAGAACCTTTACATGTTGAACTTTTAGGTCCCTTGTGGTGATGTCACTGGCTCTCTAGAAGAGCTTTTTGGCAAGAGAAGGCATTTGCTAACAAGTGGCTAATTGTCTGTAACATGCTAAAAACAGGAGTTTACTGGTGAGTATATTAAAGTTATTAATGTAGTGTAGTCGGTTCATAGTGTAACATGATGTGAATTTATTCTCTGAATATGATAAAAATACAGTAAATTCATGACAATTTTCACCCCAGCCTGTCACAGCAGATGGCTCCCCCTCCCTGAGCCTGGTTCTGATGGAGGTTTCTTCCTGTTAAAGGGAGTTTTTCCCTTCTCACTGTCACCAAGTACTTGGTCCTCAGAGGTCCTGTAACTGGTGGAGTTTTCTCTCTATTATTGTAGGGTCTGCACTTTACAATCTCAAGTCCCTAGAGGTGGCTGTTGTTAAGTGACACTATATTAATTGAACTGAATTCATTAGTTTGCTGAATAAATGGGTAAATATTAAAACATTTTATTTCCTTTCAGACTTATTTTGTCCATTAGTCCAAAAGCCTATTGAAAAATAAAACTGAATTATTGTTGAGAGAATCAATTGCTGGAGTAGAGCAGGGCGATATGACCAAATATATTTATCACGATATACATTTGAAAATTTGTGATAACGATATAACTGACGATATAATTCACACTAGACAAAATACTTTACAACTCCACAACTTTATTAGTGCATTAAAGTTATATAAAAAGTTAACAGTGCAAATGCAAATTCCTTGCTGACAGTTTAACCAAAAGGCATTTCCAGTGGAAACTGGCCAACATATCCTCAGCATAACCATGTATAATATCCAAAAAACTTAAAAAGAGGTTATACACACACAATACAGTAAAATTATGTTGAAGCACAGTACGTATCACTCCGCGAGGCTACAATGCTCTGACAAGCCATCAAACGGCACGTGTTTGTAGCTTAGCAAAGTCGTACTAAAACATTTGACAGGTTTTCGAGCGCCGTGTACCACATAAAATCGTTTCGAGGTCAGTAAACACAACCAGAATTTATACGTAAGGCACACGGGATTATAGGGGCACTGTCGATTTTCAAAAAAATCAAAGGATTGATTTTAAGTGTGCCGTATTCAACAAAAAACACGGTAATAATGACGGCCCGCTAGCATGCTCTACCAAAAATAGTGCTTTGTTGTGTATCTCAGTTGTATATAGTATTTGTATTTGTATTTTATTCTATTGTATATATTATTCTATTCTATTTTATTCTATTGTATATAGTATTTTATTTTATTCTATTGTATTTTATTGCATTCCAGTGTTTTCTAATTTCTGCTACATAACTTTGCACTTTTGCTGTAACAAAAAAAATTTCCCACCTGTGGGACTAATAAAGGTCATCTTATCTTATCTTATCTTATCTTATCTGACGAACGAAAGCCAAACCAGTTCCACACCACTGAAGTTGCAGCATTTTTACAAACCAATTCTGGTTCATCCGTTTCATTCAACAATCCACTTTCGCCCTTCTCATTCTCCGCCATGCTTTTTCCGCCATGTGCGTATGAAAAAGGCACTGCGCATGTGCATTTTACCCATATTTTATCACGATATTTCATTTTCTTATCGTTGTCCAACATTATAATGGTATTACCGTGAACGATATGATATGGCCCAGCCCTATGCAGGAGTTCTTAAAATAATTTCCCTTTCCTAGCTGCTGTTTAATAATGTAAACTTGTTACTTTGGACATTTGATTCACACTTTATCTATTTGTATACTTGGTTGTTAAATGGATGGTTGGATCAGACAGTCATGCTGGATCAGACAGACACTTACAGACGGCTTTTCCCTTTCACTGTTTAGTCTAGAGATGGCACGATACCACTTTTTTTATGTCCGATATGATACCGATATCATAAATTTGGATATCGGCCGATACCGATATGAATCCGATATAGTGTGTTTTTAATTAAATAAAACTTTTTTTAAACATCTTTCTGCATTTTGTATAAGTTCAAACTCAAGTTTAAATAAACAACAACACTAAAGCTATTCTGTTATACCTGTATACAAAAAATACACTGCACCCAAAATATTTCATAGTTCAGCAATACTGATCAATCTAATAAACTTAAACCTGCTCCATCCTCCCTATTCTGGTATTTTAAAGATTACTTAGTGGAAAAATTAAGCAACCTAACTAATAGGTATGATATTGATATTTAATGGAGCGGATTACATTTTTTATT